TGTATTGCTGAAGCCTAGCTTGTAGGATCTTGAGCATAACCTTGCTAGCATGTGAAATGAAATGATGGTAATTGGGACCAGAATTTCCATCACTAAGCAATACGGTCATAAAGTGCAATATCACACCACTGCATTGCTTAGCGATGGCACTCCTGGCACTCCATGTTGCTAAGTGAGGATTGTGGGTTGTAAGCAAGGATCTCATCGCAACTTCCTGCCAGCTTCCAACAAGGAAAGTCAGTGGGGAAGCCGGCAGTAAGTTGCAAGGCCCAGGCAGCTCGCAAGCAGGCTGGCGGGCAGGTAAGTGGCAGCTGGGTGCAGGAGGGGCCAATGCAGCACAGCACGGCTCAATGTAGCTGCTGCAGGGTGTGTTGGGGCCAATGTGAGCACAGCAGGGCTTGGAGTGGCTGCTGCAGGGTGCCGGGGGGCCAGTGCAGTGCGATTGTGGTAGGGCTTGGGGTGGCTAGTGCAGGATGGTGTGCAAGGGACCAGCGTGAGTGCAGCAGGGCTTGGGATCCTGCTGCAGGGAGCAGGAGGATCTGCAATGGGCTTGCAGGGCATGGGGTGGTTGCTGCAGGGTGTACAAGGGGCCAGCAAGCATGGCAAGGCTGGGGGTGGCTGCTGCAGAGTGGGGGAGACTTACCACCTTCCCTGATGGCTTCCCCATTGACTTTGCTTGTGAGAAGCCAGCAGGGAAGGTCACAAATGGCGATCACATAACAGCAGGACACTGTAACTGTCATAAGTGAGCCGGTTGCCAAGCAAGCCATATCACAGTCATATGACCACAAGGGTGCTGGATGGGCAGAACTTCGAGGACCAGTCATAAGTACTACTCATTCAGTGCCACTGTAATTTTGAAGTCACTGAATGAGTGGTTGTTAACCGAGGACCACCTGTACATATGCACATTAAACATAATACTTAAAATGCATGAATACTGACACTAAATATTTCATGCTGAAGGAATATTAATCTTGAACATTCTGTGCTGCACGCTCTAAATGGCTTACAGTACAGATGACAGATATATTTGAAAAATTGTATGTTACATAGAAACCTATTCTGCTTCAACTGTTTAAAAATATCAGCAAAAATAAATGTCCATACCCTAAATTATAGTATTAAGATTTATAAAAACGATGGATAAAAGCAAGCTGTAGTGTGGAAGGATGATCAGTTCTGGTATTCCAAAGTTGGGAAATTTCAGGTTTTCTAAAAAAAACAAACAAAAAAAAACCAACCAATTAAATCCCACAATCCTTAGATGTAGTCATCCGTGCTTCAATACCACTTTACTTTTAAAATTATCAATTAAGCAGAATAAACTTTGGGAAGAGAAAGATAGCCTGCAATTTAATCAGTATTTGTTATATAGTTCTCTAACCAGAGCAATTTCAGAAATACTGTATGAACATTTTTCAGATCTCCCAATTATATGTTCTTAAACTTATAATTAACGGATGAAATTATGCTTTATTTGGAAGTATCCCATGCAAGTAAGTGTTAATACCAACTAAGAACTGGTATGTGCATTTCAAACTTTATTCAAATTCACTGTGTGTAAAAAAATGATTAAATCTGAATATATACAAATGTATGCTCTTGAATGCAAAAGAGTTATCTGGCAGCCTAGACATCAAAATTATCAGACACCTCAAAAACCTTTAACACATCCAAAAGGATATTACTAAGTTACATTAGAAATAGTGACAGGGTAATGCCACTTACTGGTTAAACTAATTATGAATTTTAATAGAATCTTTATAGCCTCAAAATGCAATACATGCCAGTTTACTAGAAAAAGATTGCTTAAAGTTTTTAGCCTTAACTACAGAAGACTGTATTTAAAAAAGTAGCAGTCCATGATATTTCTCTTGTCACTTTTCATTCGTTTACCATATTCTTCTTCCATTTCAGGTTACAGCTGTTATGAGTTTAGTTCTCTGTGCATTTCATTCATTTCTTTTACCTGAAGACAAAAAAGTGTTATTCCTTAATGGTTGCCTTTTTAATAGTTTCTGCCAACACAAAGTACACTAATCTCTATCCCAGTGGTAGGCTCTTTTCTATGCTGTAATCCTGTAAACAAATATGAGTAAAATACATACTGTCTTCAATTTCGCATTATTAAGCATATGTAATTTAACTCATGTTTGCAAACCCAGCCTGAATAAAACACCCAGTTTTTAAGGCTACCACAGTAACTGTTCCACTACAGAATTCTCTCACACAGGTTTAATTTATGTTTGCTTTTCACTACAAAAAAGCCTCTTGCACAAGTGAATCTACATACTGAGCACTAGATTCCAGAGAAAATGTATTGAGTCAAATGGGAAAGCACAATAAACATTCTCCCAATGTTAAGAAATTGACTATAATTGTTATATGCATGCCCATGAGCTTACACAGCAATGAAATACAGGTTGTTTAAACACTGAGATGTTGGATCATTCTAATTGAAATATTGTTAACTTTAAAGCTAGTTTTTCTCTTTAGTTAAATGCATATAGACTTTGTATCAGTTTAAAAAAATTAAAAAGACGGATTTCTGTCTAAACATTTACCTCAGCTTTTTCATACTTGCCCCTCTTTCTTCGGGTAAATATCTGCATGGATAAAATAAAGCAGCTTAGGTATTTTTCTATTCCAGCACATTCAAGAATCCAAAACTAACATAGATGCAATATCCAGAAACTGTTCTGATGCCAATTATCAATATGACCTATGGCATATTCTCCTACAAAACAACTCCATACTGCTCATATAATGTGCAGTCTTTAGCTTCCCTATTTATGCCATTACAGCCCAATATTAAGTGAAACGTTTCACTTAAAGTCTATGCTAACTTTGAACAGTGGGAACAGATCTGGAGAGTTATTGCAACTACCAGTCAGTGTAAGCTAAGAGATAGATCATCTGGTGACTTCCAGGTGTTCTGAACTCCCACTGAAGTGGTTTGTTTTATAGATAAATCATTATCTCTAATAGTCAGGAATAATTTTACAAAGCATTGAAGACAATAGATTCCCTGGCCATTTTGTGGGCAGTACTGAACCAGATAGATCAATAGTTATACAAAACATTTCAGAATAATACTAAGGATATATAAAGCTAGATGTAATAAGGCTAAAATAAAGTTACACATTGCATAACACATCATCCACCCTAATGTTATAGAGAATCACATCACATGAACAAGAATTTTTTGCAGATTAGCACTTAAAGTGCTATATCACTAACAAAGAGTAGAACCAGAAGAGGCAGAATAGCTAGTTAAAACTCTATAAAACTTATAAATTTGTCTCACATCTTTATCTGTCCAGACTGGCTATTACTTTTAACCATTAATACCCCATAAAAATATCATATCTGTTTTAGACATAATACCTAGTGTCTATACAGCCATCCAGAGTCACATATTTTTTATTATTTACTTATTTATTACATTTCTCACCTGCCCATCTCCCCCCCCAATGGAGGAACTCTGGGCGACTCACAACAAACATTAAAAACATTAAATACATAAAATATCAGTTTGATGTATGTATATATGTGATAAACTTGTAAACAGTCTCATCCACCAATGTCCATAAAGATGGAGTCAGTGACTCACCTGGGGGATTTGATATTCAGTTTTACAGAGTCTTAACTAGCCATTCTATTTCTTCTATTGCTAATCTTCTATATTAATGATACATTTGTTATCATGGACTGGCTGAATTGCCATGGCCCAGTGGAGAAATGGAAAGTTCAAGAGCTGTCTAAAACAGTAGGCTTTGTGTATATCTACAGGTAGTCCTCACTTAGTGACCACAATAGAGACTGGAAAATTCACTGTTAAACAGGGGCGGTCATTAAGCAAAGCATCACATGACCACACCCAATTTTACAACTTTTGCAGTGGTCATTAAGCAAATCACATGGTTCCCCATTGATTTTGCTTGCCAGAAGCCAGGTGGGAAGGTTGGAAATGGCGATTACATTACCCCAGGATGCTCCAACCGTAAATGCAAGCTGGTTGCCAAGCGCTTGGATTGCAATCACGTGACCACAGGGGCACTGCAACAATCATAAGCATGAGGACCGGTTGTGACTTTTTCCAACACTGTCGCAATTTCAGACAGCTGCTAAATGAATGGTCATTAAGCGAGGACTACCTTCACTCTAAGATATTTTTTATTTGAACATCAGGATTAAGATCTTCTAAATAAGAAAAACATACCAGTACAAGAATACCAGCAACTATTGCCAATACTACAACCACAATTACAGCAATAACTCCAGCTGTCAAACGTTTCATTGAAAACTCTGGTGGCTTTTCATCAACATAGTAAATTACTGTGTTCTCAAATTGAAGAGGTTCTCCTGCAACCTCGATACCAAAGTTATCATTAAAAATTGGATCCCCTTTGACCTGAAAGAACAGGAACATGAGTTATTCGATTATTCTTTTGAAGTAATAAAAATTCTTGAAATACAGCATGAATTTATACAATTCCACTCTACTTTAAAAGCCCCATTTACTTACATCCTTCTCAAAATAGTATGCTACATCAGCTATATCCACATCGTTACTCTTTTTATCTGAAGCATTTTGTTTGAGTTCAACAATAATGAAAGGTTTTTCATACTGGAAAAAAAAAACTAATGTCACATAAAGAAATCACAATATCAAGGACAGTTCAAACATAATTTTTCTATTTTACTGTCAGTAGTTAGACTTTTTAAACCCATCTTTAATAAGTAATTCAAAATCTGCAACTAAATTAACAAAATATTTTTACATGAGGACTTGATAATAAAATTACATATTTAAAACTGACATTGCACCTTGGGTCAGGGTGGGTTCCATACCTACAAAAGTTAAATACTGCCATTCTAAATAATCTAAGTATGTAAAATTTAGATGCCAGCATGAAAGGTCACCCAAAGCAATCCTTCCATGAAAACATTCAATAATGATTTTTCATACCGTAACATTTATGTGCTTTTGATCCAAACTGTAACGTTCAGAAAACTTATTTCCAATAGTCCTGGAAATTAAAGAAATTAGAAACTCTGAAAGATATTTAAGACATAATTTGACATTGAAACCCATAGCAATCCCTCCACCACTTTGTTTAAAGCAGTTTAAACAAAATTCCCTACCATCAACTTCCCCATATCAAAAATAGCTGGATAGCAGTTGAAATGTAAAATCAGCCAGCACACTTGTTTTCAACACATGAGTTATGGTTTAGCAAACTAGAATGTTAACTAAGTTAGTGTAAGGAGCCCATTTGCTCAAGTTTTGCTTATTTCTTTGCAAGGTTAAGAAAACAAGCCAGGAAAAAAAAAGCTGTATAGTATCTGAATCCAGGCTTATTCTATGAGTTATTACACACAAACACACATTTGAATAAAGACAGACACCAACTAACTTTGTTTGCTTGTGATCTTAATTTGTTTTGGTGTAAGACATCACAATCTCATATTTAGAAATCATGCATGGCACATTGTGGAAAACATTTCCTTTTAAACTACACTCTGAAAAGTATCTCATCTACTGAATTGCTATACTTAAGTAGATAGTGATAATTATCAAGACGTACCCTTTAATGGAGTCTTCACTTAAGGCTGTATTTCCCTCAAGATGTTTTGTTTCAATAATAATCCAGCTAAAAATAAAATAGGAAAAACTTGCTCAATTACTCTGAACATTACTCGCAACCTTAAAAAATAGAACATTCAATTTGCGTATTTCTAATTTTTTGTTCTTCATGGTTTAGATGGCACACTTGTCAATATATTAGGGTTAGGGTTATGACCCATGTTTTAATCTTAGTAAATGCAATTTTATATCAGGAGGTTTACCTTGTCCTTACTACTTCTTGGCATGTAATGTTTTGATCACCCTTTTCAGTTCTTCGCACTCCTGCGCTGTTCACACACCAG